GTTTTACTGTGTATATATTTGATAGCAGAGTCGTGATTTAACTGTCAGAGGGCAACATCGGGGCCTCATTTTGTGGTTATTGCTGTTAAAGACTGGTGCTGTGGACAGTTTGTGGCAGTCAAAAAGAAAAATGGTCATCTTCCTCCACACTTAGGACGATGAATCTGTCTGCCGCAGGAACATGAAAAACTGCAATTTATTTTTCTTCAAAGAAACTGCCTACAGCTAGTGGTCTCTGACATTTGTCAAAACAAGCTAAAGCACTCTTAACATAAGCTACTATACATGTGTGCACAAGTTGTGATATAGGAAGACATATACCCAGACTTTTGACTCGTACTCATAATCCTTCGGCGCACATGAACTAACTCCCATTTCCAATGAACACAAGTGTTCACGATAAACTGTTTTTTTAATATTTATTTATTTTTTTGTAGGGCTTGCAGCAAATGAATAAGCGACTCTTATAGGCTTTTTAAAAGTGCTCCTGAGAGCTGCCCCCACTGGGCCCAGAGGATGAGAGCTTAAGGTTAAAAAGCCTATTTAAATTTCAGAGTGAGCTGCACACTCAAAGCTAACAGCTAGCAGTCCCTGTAGCTTTGCTCTATGATGTATAAGTGCTTCTAAGCTTTTACAGATGTAAAGAAAAAAAAATGAGAGCAGACAGAGCCAGCAGCAGGGGTGGCTACCTGTGGTGTGGTCACAGAATGACACGCACGACTCTCGGTGTCAGCCAGCGCTTCAGGTGCCAATAAAGAAACCCCATGAAGCATGAAGAGTGTTTTGTTGCAAGTGTGCAAGAACGTGTAAGGTCTCGGTATCAGTGTGAGCGTCGTTTTTCGATGCAGAAGATAACAGGAGCTTGGTGCCTGTTGTTGCAGAGGAAAAAGGTACAACAGGGCAGATAGTTGTGTATTTTGGTGTGGGTTGCAGTGAAGAGAAGCTTTAGGCACATGAGCATATGCTTGCGAGTGTGTGTGTATCTCCCCTCCACAAAAGTGTGCCTCTCTCTGTGGGGAATAGTGCTGTAGGTGGTTGGAGGAGTGGGTGGGGTCAGGGTGCAGCCGTGTAGCCAGGTGTGTGTTGGAGCTGGAGGCTGGATGGCTGCCTGTAGTACCTTGTTAGTCACAGTGTTGATTGCCAGCGTTGGAGAGGCACTTGCAGGGATCATACAGTCCATCCCCAAAGACTCAGAATCCAGGCTGTATGGCGTGGAAGCCTGTGGAGGTTGGTGGGGTAGGGTTTGAGGGCAGGAAAAAACAAAACAAAAATAAAAATCAACATTATCCAATTATTACAAACAAGATCTCACTGTTGTAGGTTGAACAAAAACAACCAACACTAAGGTAGTAAGAAATACAATGGCCAAAAAATAAATAAATTAAAAATATTTATTCATTTGAATATGTGAGAGCTGCACCTTTATTTAGGTCATGCTTGAACTGTGTTTTCTGAAACGATGGAGACCCCCACCACACACACACTTTCACCTCCCTCCCAAACATACACACATGCCCTGGTGTTGCAGGAAAGGCACACTGTTGTTGAGAGATAACTCTGCCATGCCTGTCTCCCCAAACTGCTTACTGTAAGAGGATTGGATGCCAACAATACCAATTTTTAATTCACAATAAACATAAATGAGATTTTAAAAAAACTCTAAATTTCAGTATCTTGGACTCTTAATGGAATGCCTTTTGGGCAAACTGTGTCAGGGTGGGGGAGGGGTCAGGCAGAGAGCATTTGTACAACTGAAAACACTCTTTACTGAGTGTCGTCTTTTGCGTTACACCAAATGCTGATGGTAGAAATCCCCAGTAAAGCCAATGTACACAAGTTGTAGAGACAAATGTTTGAGTCTCCTTTAATGGATTAAAGGAATCTGTCTTYATGTGCCTCTGGTTAACAACACAGTCAGGAAGATGCGGTTCATGTACAAGGGAGAGGCCCGTTTTGGGGGTTCTTGATAAACCTGTACAGATTTATGTAACTGTAGACAAAAGTCACACAGAATTTAACATCCTGCTCAGAATAYCCAGTGCAATAACTGATAATTGTTTAAAACATAACAAACAAGCATGCAAAAGGTTTCAATGCATGTTCAGTAATGGCTGACAAGGGTATTGTTTAAACATAAAGAGACCACTTCAGGAGCAGCTAGCATGGAGAGGCAATTAAATAAAGCATGGATATAAACTCATCTCGTCACTGTAAGTGTCTTTGTGTTAGCCTGCATGTAGTACAGAAATAAAAATGGAATAGTGTTAAAGACAAGAAGGAACCTTAGGCAATAAGTAAAGGCCCCAAAAAAATACTTTAAAAAGCAGAGATCAAAGCTGACAAGACAGTWATAACAGCAAGTGCAGAGTTTTCTTGGGGTTGTGCAGAACCTCACCCGCTCTCCAGACCGAGGCCTTTTCTTTGGCCGAGTAGGCAAGGCGTCCTCCTTTGGGTTGGTGTCAATAGCCCAGTAGGAGCCCTGCAAACAAACAAAAGGCCTGAGAGCTGAAAACACAAATTACTTTTATAACATAAACACAGATTACATTAGCTGGAAGTCTCAATTAGATCTATAAACATACAATAACTTTGTCTGAATGGAGCCAGAAATCATGAAAAAAAGAGGGAGAAAAATAAATAAAGACGTCTCCTTTGTCATTTTGAACACTAGATTGTTCTCTGCAGAAGTCTGTTCTATCTATCCAAATTTTTATTGGCRATGATAGCTGAATGTTTAGTTTGTTCTGTGTGTGGGTGGGCTTTGTTACCAAGAAAGGTTCAGCATTCTTCCACTGTGGCTGTTCCTCAATGAGAGTGTGGTGAGGGCAGCGGGTGGTGGTGAAATGCTAAGACTTTCCTGAAGCTGTACTTTYTCAGCCTCAGGTACTGAAATCACTGCAAGTGCTCTTGCCAAGGATGAAGGATCAACTATCTTAGCCCCGAAATCAAGGCAGCGCTAGCCTTGCCATGCTGCTCTTTTTTAAGGTCTGAGCAAGGCTAATAGAGGAGAATCCAGTTGGGGCTGCAGATAATAATCGCACAACTGAGCTGCATAATTTATATTGGCATTTGGCCCCATTTAATTTATTTTTCAATAGTTTTACTCCTCAAAGCTAACAGGAAGATCACTTACAGTTGTTAAAAAAAWTTATTTTTACCCTATGGCTCAGCAAGTTCAAACTTGTTTTTTTTT